CAGACTGCTGAAATTAATGCTTTCCTAGCAGATGGGTCTGAACTGATTTTACAGTAGTGTGAGCCTTAAATCTGGTGTTTTCACAATTTACGTTCCATAAAACTTACTGATCTTGTCACTTGCTTGTCTAGAAGGAAATGCAGAGTTTCACTGTGTAATCGAAGAGGTAGTAACTTAAAGCAGAAATATTCCTGAAACTTTATTCATCAGACCTCTGTGGAAGGATGGGGAGGCAGGAAGGCTGGTGAGGTGCTTAATCCTTTCCAGCTTTCTTACAGGTAACTGTTTTTTACATCCGCTGTTACCTTGTAGTTTTGATAGATCACAGCACACCTGTATTCTGTAATAATTTACTCTGATTTTTAAGTGGGTGACTTTTCATAAAGCTTATGCTATCAATTTTATTTTTGTTTGTTTTATAATTTAAGTTCACATTGCCCTTTGGGTCTTCATCTTGACTTCTGCTTGCTGTCGTATCAATTGGAGAAGGGAACCTCTTCAGTGGTCCTGATTTTCTTGCTGGCTGCTTCATAGTTCTAAGTGAGGGTTATGGCGAAGTTAAAATTTAAAGAGCCAAATGGTGCACCTCTGCAGAAAGTCTTTCTACCTCATTATGCACTCTGTTATACCCAGGTAATGCTTGCATGCAACGTAATATGCAATAATAGAAGATTCAGTCTACGGAAGAGCTAGAACTGTTTATGCACAACACAATTAGCTGCAACGTTCTGCTCTTTTTTGGTAACTTCCCCAGTTAAAAACTTAGGTCTTGAACCAAACTTCTACTTATTTGGTAAGTAAAGGTATCCTTTATTACCAGTATTTACTTCCTTTTTCAGTAGCACTTTAGGCAGTGTTTCACTCAACTTGCCTACCTTTGGAAATATGTACAGTCACTGAAGGCTCCATTGCAGTGCCATCTCTATCATTAAGGCGAGAGGAAAAATGATATCTCATTTTAAAAGCCTTCTGTCTTCATTTTTGCTTAGAGCCAAGTTAACTGCTGAGTGCTTCTCATCTCTTGGTAGATGCAAGAGGACAAACAAGGAGACAGAACTTCTCTCAGTTGGAGTGAAGGCTATCCATGTTCTCTGGTCCGATTACTAACATATTACTCCATTGTAATTATGATGTTTTCTTTTGCTTGCACTTATAACAACTGATAAAGGATCTTGGGAGTTGCAAAATAAAACAGGAGCAATGATGCTAATAGGATATAAATTTTTACTTTGTGAAAGTCGAGGCAAATAAGCATTGGATAACTGGACAGTTCTTAAGGTGGTGTAGGTTAGGAATGAAAACTGATAGTGTTCTAAAGCTTTTCTTAAATTCTCTTTATAGACAAATCTTACCTAATTTTTGCACTGTATAGAAATTTTAGGGGGGAACCCACACTTTTCATCTTCAAGCATAAAACTTTAACTGCAGTGGCAACTTTATAACACAATTACAGATTCTGGACTCTGATACGCTTATTGAAAAGGTGAATGCACCTTTGAGTCTGAGGCTTCAGCAGACATTTGCTTGGGTGAGTTATTTGCAAGCTTATACAGTTTTATCTTGAGCTCATTATCTATGAGGAAGGATATTACAGCTCATGTGCCATGGCAGGTTACAGTGAAACTTACCAAACTGGTCTCTTATGGCAGTTTAGCTTACCAGTACTAGTATTGAAGCTTTTAACTCAAAGCCATAAGAGAATATGGGTAGGTTTTCAAGCATTAAAGTGACCACGGAAGTGGATTAGTTTCATAAAAAGAATAACTTGCTGCAGATTTTCAGTTCAAAGATTCTCCATTAGGAAACTTCTAGCAGTTATTGCTAATGGAGAAATTCCCTGGCTAGTTGTAATTCATTTTCAAAGAGCTCAATCTCACGCAACTAAGCATTTTAGCTGCCCTGAAATAACAGTTGTCTCCCTTCACATCTACAGAAGAATCTAGCTGAAATTCTAGAAAGCAGTGGCACTTAGAGCCCTTCACACTTTCCCTCGTTAAGTGCACGCAGCAGAGCAGTCTCAGCTGCGCTGGAAGCCTTTCAGTCCTCAGCGGAGCTCAGGCTGAGGGAAGAGAAGAATCCTTGGCCCTTCTTGGGAAGGCGAGGAGAGGGAGGAGGTGTAATGCTAGCTTTGTAGTGCATTAGCTGGAGCAGCTCGTTTTGGATGACCTGTTTCTTTCTTTGGTGCAGGCACTTATCCCTGTGTTGACTGATGTTAACAGCACAGTTTGGTTGTCCAGTAGCAAGTTGCTAGTGCCATTTAGGAAGTGTTAGTGTGCTGAGAACATCCACATGGCAGATACTGTGTGAGAGCTGTGCTCTGAGCTGGCTGCTGGAGGGCACAGGGAATATTCTGTGTCAGTTTGCATTGTCCTCTAGATGGTATTCTCATGAGATGCCTGTATGCAGACACCAAATCGATCTTCCAAAAAGCAGATCTTAGACTTTCTAAAGCAAATGAAACATTTTTATGATTTCTCCTCTTACCTACCTCCTCTTACCTACTTTGAGAAACCAGCATGTAGCAATGGACAATATTCTTCAAAATAGAAAGAGGGGTTTTACTTTGCAAGGGCAGTGTGTATATACTTCAACTGAAGATAATATATACAGTTTTACAGATTAATTACTGATTAAATATTAGGTATTAACTAAACAAGCTGAATTCAAAACGAGACCTAAACATAACTCTTGAATCTTAGGAAAAACAAATTTCTGCACATACTTCTATCTTCTGTTCTGAATCTGTTCCTTATCTTCTTCTTCATAATCACTATCTGGCACGTATTTACAATGGGCAAAGAGATTAACATAAATAAAAACCTCCACTGTGTAACTCTCACTTAATGTCCAAGTGAGCTGCACATACTAGAATAGTTCTTACTGCAACTCCTACACTGAGATTTCCACATGCATGTAAGAGCAGCTTTTAACGTGGTCTAATGGAAGTAATTTATTATGTTGTAAACCAAGATACCTGAAGTAAATGATTAGTTTCTTAAAAGAATACAGAATTTCAAAAGGACAAATAGTTCTGTTGATAACTTTCCTCCTCCTGGGACCTTTTCCTATTTAGTTTTTTCTCTGCCCCTGCTTTTCCTTTTAAAAGAAACTTCTCTTTTGATCTAAAGCTCTAAGCTTTCATAGTTATGGATTTTGAAATGCCTTTCCTGTCTGTCCTAGGTTTTCTCAAAATACTGATTTACCTCATGTTACCTGAAACACGAAGGGCACATTAGCAGCCTGTAATGGACACCTGTCCTCAGCTCAGATGGGACTGTCTCACTCAGCAGGCACATTAACACTTGCTCCTCTGTAGCAACTTGAGCAATTCTGGGGGGGGAGCAGCTCGGGTAAATGGGGAGAAGGGGGAAATAAAGTAACTTTGCTCTCTGGAGCAAACAGAAGACTTGGGAATTGCTAAGTAGAAGATTTAATTGCTTGAGAGCATGTTAGCTATGTGACTCCATAGTACCAATCCAAGGAGAAAGTCTTTAGTCTGCCTTTGCATCGGGAAGCTGCAACAGCCGCACTAAAAGTGCTGATGTGCAGAGCTGGATTCCTAGACCTAAACAAGGTATTAACCCAATCACTTATGCTATTTGTGGTGGTGAAGGTAACAGTGCTTTGAAGGTTAAAATTTTGCTGTCTTAATTCCCTCCCAGATTTGGGAATCTACAGTTAGAAAGGATTTTTGATACCTCATGGCACTTTTGTTCTAAATGGAAGTTTTGTTAAGTAAGACTCTAAACTAATGATGAAGTATCAGAAATTGTAATTTGCTGGATTCTTAGAAAGTGATAGATGCTGTCTGACTCTAGTTTTCTCAGCTTCGAGGTATGATTTTCCTTTAGGCAGTGAAACTTGTAACTCAGTTGAGGAACTTCAGCAACTGGAAACAGGAGCGCTAGCTTAGAGGAGGGGAAAGGTTAATTCAGACTTTTTTAGCACATGTTATTTTTCATTAAAAGCTTCTGGGTTGGAACCCTGAAAATTAAAAACCGTTCTCCATAAGTACTTATTTCTTTCACTGCCTGAAGGGTGAGCATCTTTACAGGCCCTTTGCAAAGATGGTATGAAGTAAAACAAGGGTTCTTTGAGTTATCTTTTTATTTTTTTCCCTTCAACTTTGCTTGGAAATGAAATGTAAGTCAGGATCTTCAGCATGTTTTCCCTAAAATAAGCTATCGTATAGCATTAACCCTTGTTTTTACATTTGGAAATGGCCTTGAGGCTAAAGGCTTGGTTTAATCACGTTATCGTGCTTGCTATCTTTGCTTCTCTGTGTTATTGGACTTTCTTTTTGTGGCACCTATGTACAAAGTAAGCTCATCTTTACTGGAGTTAAATTAGTTGAAATAATTTTGCTTGTTATTGATAACTTATTTTTAGTAGTGTGATGTATTACAAATTCTTGAGGAAAAACATTTCAAGGCTCATATGGCACAGTTGTGTACAGTACGCACAAAAAAAATAAAGCCTTCGGTCTCATTTACTTCACTTACGAAAAATCAACCATTTATAGGGTGAAAAAAATGCATCTGCTCCGGAGCTGCACTAAGCAGGGTGATTGTAACAAAGTAGACAGGCTTATTTCTGAACTTAGAAGATGTAAAACTAGAAGTATTTCAAAAGAAAATTCTTTCATGTCCTGTCTGCTAAACTAGAACTGAACGTTTTTCTTCTGAAACTGATAACCTGAGTATTTCAGATGTTTTTGAAAAGCTGTCTAGTGTATTAATCTTGAAACTTGATAGGTTGAAGGTTGAAATTGTCTAACTTTTTAATGTACCAGAAATCTTTCTAAATGACAGTAGTTGGAAACAGTCCTGAATTTTTCCAGTGTGCTCTCGTTCTTAAATAGCTTATTCAGCCTGTCATCAAAAATCTCTTTGAAGGTGTGTTGTAACAGATAATACCAGGAGAATCAAGTTATCTGAGGATGCCTATTATATATGTGACTTCATTGTACCTGACTGTCAAATGTGTTTTTATCTATTTAGGTTCAGACAAAGAAGGAAGAAACTTTGCCACCATCGCTTAGTCAAACCATTCCAACTTTCTATTTTCCTCGAGGATGTCCTAAGGAAAAAGTAAACATAGATGCTGTGATTGCCAAAATTGAGAAAACTTTCTCACAGTTTCCAAACGAGAGGGCAACTTTAGATGACATGGGGAAAGTTGCAAAGGTGAGAGTTTGTTAGCTAACTGCTTTCAATACTGTACATCCATGGAAAGAACACATGAATTCTCTGCTTTTCCTTGCATTATGTGTACTTATCTCCTATTAAGTAGTGCTAGTAAGACAGTTGTGTGGAAATCCTTGTATTAACCATGTCTCAAAATGCCCTTACATTATGCTTACGGAATGAAATGAACCACAGAACCAAACGTGTTCGTAGATTGATATGCCTGTTGATTTCTGACCTACATGATATTAGTTGTGTGATGAAAATGTTACTGTCCTTGGTATAAAATCTTTCAAAGGCTTTGACAGTGTCGTGAGCATCCATTTTAAAGGTGCTGAAATACAGAATGGTTTAGCAACTTGAGAGCTTAACTCTTCAGTCGTAATTGAAGAGTTATTTTATAGTTACTGCAGAGTGACGAAATACCGAATTAGGAAGTAGGTAAGATTGTTCATGTGTTATGTAATGCACAATAACTAATTGATTTAGCATTACATTTTAGCTTTTGAAATATTGATCTTGGTCGGGAGCCTTTGGTTCTCATTCCTGTTCTTGTCACTTTGTATTTCAAATCCAGGGTTTAGAAAAATAGAAATAAATTTTTATATAGACCAGAATTAAGTGATGAACTCCCAGTTTACCTCACTGGAAGTGTTTAACTGCCAAGCTGAACCACAGGGTTTCACAGCTCCTTTCCATGTAGATGTGATGCTTCCGCAAGAGGGCTGGAAGAGCCCAATCAACTACAATTCAGTGATGAAAGGCATCCTACTGAAGGATAGGGTACAGCCTCTCAGACCAAGGAAATTTTGTCAAACTTTTAAAATGTGCATTTTTAAATGCTAGTTAAAGTGTTGCGTGAAAAGTATCTGTTCTTTTTCTCCAGTGACCTTTCACATCTTGCAATACTGAGTTTTATGTGAGTTCCAAATGAGAATTTCAAATGTTAGCACATCTGACTGCTCCAAGTCACAGTTAGTTTTAGGTAAAGGCACATAGCTTTAGGACAGACGAAGCTTGAACCAGACACAGAAGCAACACTGTAGTTACATAGGAATTCTTATATTGTGGAGGGCATACCCAGTAAGTATTGTGAAGCATACAAATGATGCTCAGTGCAGCTGACCTGCTACTGAAAATGGGATAAAAAAGTTTGCCTGCATGTGCAAGATGAGTTGAGATATCTTCTGAGGCAGACAAATGCATGCTAGCTGTCATCCAGAACTTGAGTTTGAGACAGCATAAACAGTAACACAGCTTAAACATATCCAGCCCGTTAGCAGAGCTTATTAGCATGGACTCCATTCAGCTGCTTGGAGCATGAACATGTAACTGCATTCAGCTATTAGGAATGCTGCAGGATTGCCTTATATTTTACTTTCTTCTACTGAACTTTGGCCTAAAGCAGTTGTTTTAAACTACTTATTTTGGAAGGTTGCACCTGGTTTCAGAAACAGTTTAAAAATAAATAAATAATCTGTGTTTATTATAGATCATAAATGCTTTTATTCCCCTACAGATATGTTCAGTGTTACTAAAAGGTTTTTCCCATGGTGTCGCCTTAATGTTTTTTCTTAATGCTTGTAAAACTTAATTTGAGAGATTTATAAATGAGGGAGTAGCCCTCGGATAAAAAATCAATGAGTTGACTTGATGTATACTCTAATTATAGGCTTGTGATTGCCCGCTCTACTGGAAAGGTCCTTTGTTTTACTGTGCTGGAGGTGAACGAACGGGATACGTGTCAGTTCATAAATTTGTTGCAATGTGGCGGAAGTAAGTAGATTACTTTCTCAGAGATACTGTATTTTTATTTCTTTAATTGAAATGTGTATTTTAAGCTCTGAATGAGATCCAGTGTATAAAGGGAAAGAAAAGAATTTCCTGTAATCAACTGTTGACATCAAACTTGTACGTGAGAAAATGTAAGCATATCACCCCTTCTAAAACAAGCAAACAAATCTTTACTTGTTACGATCAAAGATTTTGAAATATTGTTTGATAAATGGCTGGCTATTTATGGGAAAAGTGAAAACCATGGGCGTAACTTGCAGGTGTCAGTTCTGAGCAGAACTACATCTTTCTAGCTTACATTCTAGTTCTAACTGGAAAATGTCTTCTCATGTAAGCAATTGTGTGGAGTACCCACCTACAAGATGATACTGCTTGATGACTTCCCCTATAGCTTAATTTGCCATGTGTGATTAACTTTTGAGTTAAATGTTGTGGTTGCTGTTTCATAGGCCTTTCTCAGAGGATTCCCATACAAAGTAGTATCAACAATTTTCTGTGTACAGTAGTAAATGCATGCATTTATATTTCAGAATACTTCAGACCTGCTATGATGATGCTGCAAAGTTTGTTCATCTTCTAATGAACCCTGGATGCAACTACTTAGTGCAAGAAGACTTCATTCCTTTTTTACAAGTAAATTGCAATAAGAACTAGCTCTACTAAACACAACTAAATTATGAATTTTATTTAATTTTTTTTCTTTTTTGAGCTAACTGCACATTTTCATGGTCTTCATTAAAGCTTATTAATAATATTTTAGTGTAAACTTGCTTTGTGTGGTCCACACAAGTGAGATCTTTTAAGACCTACAGTAAGATGTATGGATCTTGCTTACAGGAGTATCAGACAACCTTTAGGGTTTTGAAAGGCAGTTGAAATTACAAGGGCTGTTCTGAAAGCAATGTCTCATGTTATATTATGTTAGTCCACAATGTCAGAGGTGGATTGGAAGGATAGCAGTAGAGGTTGAAACTTCCCATGGTATTCTGTTATATTTTGTTGCTGTGCCACTGATGGCAGCAGATGGGCAGCCAGACAAAATAAACATGGAATTACACATGAAGCAAATGTGTGTCACTGAATTCCTCTTTTGAGAAAAAATGCCATTCATTGACACTTACTGAACATTTAAGGAGACCAGATAGTGAGCACAGTGAGGCAGTGGGTGGTGTGTTTCAGCAGTAACAACAGTGATATGAAAGTCAAGCCATGTTCCAGATAGCCATGCAGATATTTTTTTTTTATTTTTATTTTTGGAAGCACAGTATGCAGGCTCATGTTCATTGCTGGCAAAAATGCACAGCTAATGGTGCTGACTGTGCTGAAAACAGTGTTTGTTAGCTGAGAATTTGCTCTATCAGACAGTGTTATTGTGCTCTTTGTACCTGTTACAGCAACGCCATGGAAATAAATAGGAGGCATTACTTTCAGAGCAGCCTTTGTGCTTAAGGAGGGCCTTTGGAGGGCAAACTGCTTTTCTGTATTCAAGACCTAAGGCAATTTCTCTCAAAGAGCACAAAAAGATATTTATTTCTAGAACCTAAATTGACTTGAGTGAATCATCATCAGACGCAGAATTACAAGCACTGCAGTCATCAGTAGTATTCACCTGACCAATTTATTCAAAATCTTCTGTCCATCTGAAATATGGGAAATCATCTGTTTGTATGGCTTTTAAAAGATAATTTTATTTTTTGAGTGTCAACAGTGTGCATACAGTGTACTTCAAATGAAGTTATTAATTGTTGTAGTTCATTTGAACTGTTTTTTAGTTAAGGAAGAGGATGTCTGCTAATGTGTGTTCATTGTTCTGTATAGACACTAATGGATGCTGCTCATGATATTGTTATTCCTTTGTGTAGGATGTGGTAAATAGCCATCCTGGCCTGTCATTTTTAAAAGAAGCATCTGAGTTTCATTCTCGGTACATTACCACAGTAAGTGTTTTTTATTTGGAAAAGCTATTTTTTGGACAACTAAGTATGAAAATGACTAAAATTAGACAAAATGTATAAGCATCTTTGTCCTTTGGGGGGAAAAGTTAAGTATGCTGCCAGTCTTCATGTCAGCATGACTAGAAATATTGCAAAGAAAATTAATTTCTGGAGTATCATAGTAGAAACTGTTGAACTTAATACAAGGATGAGAAACACCAAATTGTAGAAGTGTAAAACGAGTTAATGAACATTTAAATAAAGAACAGATTGTTATCTTAAAGACTTGATTGTCAGTATAGACTATTGGAATCTTGACTGTAGTCTGGGATTAATTAAATGAAATTTTGAAAGAAGGGTCTGTGTTCACATGATTATGTTCAGTGTCAAGTAAAATAATGATAATACTGAGACTGTTTACCACATCCATCTCCAGGGATGTGGAAGCTCCATTTCTCTCTTCCTATGGTGATGTGAATGAAGTGCTCTTTCTGTACACAAGGGAAAAATCAGTGACATTACATTTTCTCAATTGCAAACAAGGCAGCTAATTCCAGTGAAGTCTCAGAAGATTAAAATTCCACAGAGTGACATTCCATTCACTCTCTGTGCATGTGAAAACTAGCTTAATAGATCTTCCCAACAACAAAAAAAGACAAACAACATGCAGCTTATAGTTCCACCCAGACCTAAATTGTAGAAAATCTGTTTTTGGTTTGTTTTTGTTTTTGGTTTTTTTTTTAAAGTATTTGGTTTTGGTTTCTCCTATTCTACATAGAGAGACTGCCAGCCTATCAAGTAGATCCCTATCAAGTAGTGCTTTAGATTTTGCTTCTTGTCTTAATTCTTGCATGAGCTCCCAGAACTTTCTTGTCAAATGTGAGTAAGGGAAATGTTCTGATAGTGAGTAGTTTTCTTTATTAACAGATTATGGTTTGTATCAAAGCCTGCTCTAAAAATTGTGAAAGCTTGCTATAGGAAGGGTAAGGTTTTGCCATTTCCAGTTACTTTTCTTTGGATGAATAGCTTATTTTAGTAGGTCTGAGCCTAGCACTGCTGAATAAATTAGTGCTGCAAGTAATTGACTAACAACATTTAGTCTGCAAGAGAAGTCTATGTGTAATCAAAATGCCAGAAAAAACATCAATATTGGTAAGAATACAGTAAGAATATTTGAAATGCCAATCTGCAGGTTAAAAATGACAAGAGGACTCTCTGCCATTATTTCGTGTCTTATTTCTGGATGGAGTAACTGCTATTGATAAATTGAGCTACATGGTCTTCTAAAATTCTTGGAATTGTCTTGGAAGCTGCTACTGATATAACTGTAGGTGGTTTTTCTCTGAGGCAAAATCAGGTGTTTTATCCTTATGTTCAGGGTAGCTTTAATCTTGCTACGTGAAGATTTATGTAAATGATGTTGTAAGCATTACAGCTGAAGATTTAATGTCTTCTGATTATTGCCAGTTGCAAGATCAATTTTTCTGCTGTTTCTCTGTATATTTGTATTCATACTTACGTAACCTTTAACTCTTTAATGAAGAGAGCATCTTGTTGGTTGGTCAGTCTAGGGTAAGCATTTGGCTCTGCCTGCTAGGCAGGGGTCTATGTTGGTGGGTCAGTCTAGAGGTAAGGTTTGGTGCATCTCTGCCCAAGAGAAAGCTGAAATACATTAAAAACTGTTGTCCTGACAAATGTGATACTGCATTCAATCTGCAAGTACGTTGTGTGTATGCCTGTGAACTCTTGAAATTGTAATCTCTGTATTCCACAATTTCTTCTCCCTTATGAGAAACTGTTGTGCAGCATAGTAAGGAGGGCAGTTCTTAAACAGTTGGCTTGTACTGTGCTTTGATTCACTTTAGAAAACTATTTTTTATGCCTATTCCCAGTTGTCTCCAGCAAACATTCAATTTTGTTTTTATTTTTAGACCAGTTAAATGTGTAACAGATGAGATAATGACATGCAGATGGATCAAGTTGCAAAGCTAAAGCAAAACCTTTTTAGAAAAAATTGCTTTGTAGTGTAAGCCAAAATCTGGGCCTTCCCTAAAATCACAATTAGAATTGGGCTAATTAACTTCCAAAAGCAGACCAGTCTATTCTCCTTTCTAGATCTATTGAACCAGCTGTTCTTGTTCGAAGTGTGAGCTGCAGAGCTTGCTGTAGCTTACTGCTTACAGGCAGCTTAAGCTTTATTTTAAAAACTTCATGGAAAAAGCTGCTCTTCTATTTGTACTTCAGAACGGTTGGTTTCTTTACACTACTGATAAAAATGCAATTACATCTGAAGTAATACAAACTGAAATAAAAAGGCCTTTCGTTTGGAGGAGGGAAGGAATTCCTTAAGAGATGGCCTTTTAGCTAGTAACTATTGTTGCAAATAAAATGCTGTACATATACAGCATTCAGTATTTAGCTTATCAGCAGGGTACAGTTCATCTCCAGTTAAGCAATTACAGCTCATAATACACTCAGGTTTTTTGTCTGGTGACTGGCGAATGAATTATTTGAGATGCTCGTGTGCTTAAGTCAAAATAATTGAAATGAGTATTTTAGATACAGAAAAATGGTGATTTAAAGTCTAATGTTCATGAATTAAACCAAGCAAATTGTGTTAAATGCTTGAATCAATCAAAATGACCTATGGGTGCAACTGATTTAAATAGATTCTATGGATAATCAGTTGGATGAATAGGATTTTGATTTTAATATCGCTGATGTCATAGAAAAGTCATTCTTACTAGTTTTGTTACTCAGAAATCACTTCTGTGCTGTTTTTTATAACTACTGTCAGTTTTTTATCTAGGTTTAAATGGAATGAAATGGAAAAAATGTATTATCTGTCCACCTGCAGGAAGTGTTCTTTTTGTTAGATGTTTGTTTCTTCTGTTTGTGGTTATGGTATCAGAAGTGATGGTATCCCCCAGTGCTCTGGTCTTCTTTAAACAGACCCCATTCTATTTCTGTCACTTCATTTATGAAATACTTTCATAGCAAATACGGGCCCTTAAATCTGAAGCCATGAAATATATTAATAGCTTTATTGCCTATAATCATAGAAGATGGGAAGGCAGTGAAATTGTTGATAAACATCTTCTGCATAGCATGCAGGAATTCTGCCCATTTACTGTGTAGGATGTGGGTACTGCAGCATTGCAGTACACTACCTGGATTAGTTTAGCTATAGCTGGAAATAGCTTGATAATGTGATGTAGCACACTGATGCTTCTCTCTTTAGTAGTGGGAACAACAGACTCGTAAGCTGTTCATTTGGGTGGAAAATGGAGTCCTGTAATGCAGCTGAGCTAGGACTCATTTTTGATCACAAGTGCTTAGGAGCTTGTTCTGATGGCATGCCTGAGATCACCTTTTTGTTTTCTTGCAGGTTATACAGAGAATATTTTATACAGTAAATAGGTCCTGGTCTGGGAAAATCACTTGCAATGAGCTCAGGAAAAGCAATTTTTTGCAGGTATGTAGCATCTTCTGTAAGATGTCTTCACAAGTTTAAAACAAGCACTAACTAAATGCTTTAGGGAGTAAGATAGGCATTTCCTTCTCTTGCAAAATCTAGTAGGGACTAGATTATATTAATTCTCCTACTGTAGAATATGTTTAAATGTCGTTTTATGTAGCTCTGCATATGTGCAACTCTGATTAGTGAAAGTCTAGCTGATCTCGTTCTTCTGTGGATACTTTAGCTTTCAACCTTGTCTGTTAAGTCTTTGCTGTCATGCTGTGTGATGCGCATCGTCTCAGAAGCTCATGATTCTTCCACTGACATACTGTTAGGTAACAGTAATATTAGTCTGGTTATCAGAACTCAGATGATTCAGCAGCTGTCTTAAAAATTCTTTAATGTGTTCTGTTTATCCTTCTGATAATAGAATGTGGCATTATTGGAAGAGGAAGCTGATATTAACCAGCTGACAGAGTACTTCTCATATGAACATTTTTATGTTATCTATTGCAAATTTTGGGAGCTGGATACAGACCATGACCTCTATATTGATCGGAAGGATTTAGCTCGACATAATGATCATGGTATGACAAATGAAGCATCTTTCTTTACATGTGTTAAATTACTTGCAAGCTTTCAACTGAACAAGTGGTTAACTGCAAAGGCCAGTGTTCAGGAGTCTGTTCCTGTAGCTGATCCTCCTTGCTTAGGGGAATAAAGCAGGACAAGTAAGCTCTGATCCTGCTTTGTGTCCAGGAATACCAGATTGGAAGAAAACTCTGAATTCTGATCCTGACAAAGAAGTAGAGGAGGAAATAGGTCACTTTTCACCCCTTGAGATCAAGTCTACACACTTAGAAATTTAAGTCTTGATGTATTATCAGTGGGGGATTGTTTTGGAAACAATCTGTTATTGTTAAAGTAGTATGACACTTATGGCAAGGTATGGAAGGAGAAAAAAGTAGGGCAAATATATGTTGTTACTTTGCTTATTTTAGTTTATTCAGCTGCAGTATGTTTTCTTTAAATATCATTTAGTAGCTTTCTATTTTCTATATTCAAAATATACAGTCACTAAGATTCTGTATTCTTGCACACTCCCTATTTTAAACGTTCTTGTATGAACATTTTACCTTTTATGAAGCTGTTATTTTTTTTGTATGGTTTGTGTCCCTTGTCATCATTGTCCTCTTCAGGACTGGAAAGTTCACTCAAATGCTAACTGACCATGGAATATTATCCCAGATTAAAAAGAATAAGCATCATTCTGATTGCTTTTGGGAGCTTGCCTGTAGAAGTCTTTATTTTAGGACACTGAGGCAGGATTATTTCATTTGTGAGGTTGCTCTAGTAGGCACACTGTTTATAAATACACACACACACACACACACACACACACATTCACACACAATTTGCCAAAAAGCAAGGGCACTTGAAACTATAATGGCACTCGAAAACGTGATTTACTTGTCAAAGAACTAATAAATGCCATCTTACTAATCAGCCAATTTTATTACTTTTGCTGTGTTACTGATTCTGCATCGTCTGAATTCAAAGTTGGTTGGTTCAAGGCTCAAAAGAATTAATGAGCACTGTAGGTGATCCTTCTTACAGATGTTTATATATGAGGTTTCTGATAAACTTTTCAGCTAGACAGTACGTGGTAAAAGTAACATGTGCACCACTGATACAATTTTAAATCTTTCTTTCACAGCAATATCAAATAGAATGATAGAGAGGATCTTCTCAGGAGCAGTAACAAGGTAATTATTTTGCATGCTGATCTAAACACAGTTCATATATTTTCTTGCGAAATTGAGTATCATTATCCTCAGGATTAAATGATGTCCCCTTGAAATGAAATGCTGGACTTCAGGATTTAATACTGAGCAATCTCCCAAGCGTTCTTGAAAGCTTTGGCTCAGCCAAGGATCTTCAGTCTTTCTTTATTACTACAAGCGCTCATCGCTTAGTATCATATGGCATAGCAAGGATGGGAATAAAGAGGGGAAGAAATGCTGGTGGTGTTCTCATGTCCTTAAATCCTGAGAAGCTTTCAAAGGGATTTGGGATTTTTAATACTACTCGCACAATCAAATTTGCAACAAGTTCTTGCATCAGGGTTGTAAAAATAAGTCTAGAATGTGGTCAGTAAACAGAAATAACAAAAGCTGAAATGAATAACAAATGAAGTGGACAGTTATGTCTACAGATTACACAACTGTGTGAGCAGGGAAGGATTAGGAGTGGAACATAACAAGCTGTGACCTGCTTACCTAACTTTTTGCTAGAAAGGTTGATTCTGTGTCGTCAGAATGTATTTGGGTTCTGAGCTCTGTGGTATGAGTAGGAAAAATCATTTTGTTATCACATATACTTCATGAATGTTCTGTCTCCTTTTTCTTTTTTTTTTTTTCTTCTTTTTTACAACACTTCTAGTACACATTTTTGTTCTTTTGCCACCTTCCTCTTTAAATATCCATTGCAGTAGCAACAGAACAGAACTCGTAAGGTCTTTTTTTCTTAATGATCGTAGTCACTGATAGGCCACCTTCAAACACTCTATCTTTTGATAGATGAACAGATAATAGCACCAAGGAAAATAATCTTTGTTTAGTAAAGTCTGGATGTTTTAACATAAATTCTTTTTTTTTTTTTCCTCTGCATTGATTGTCAAGAGGTAGAAAAGCACAAAAAGATGGAAAAATTAGCTATGCTGATTTTGTCTGGTTTTTGATATCTGAAGAAGACAAGAAGACACCAACTAGGTAAGAATGCATTTATTTTATCAGAAATAAAGACTGGCTTATACAAAAGACCGCTGATGCTCAGCTGGAACTTAAGAAACTAAATAATTAAAAAGATGAGTAGAATACTGGCCCAGTTGGTTACATCATTCTTGTTTCTCAGTGTCTTTGATTATTGCTGCATAAAAGTCTTTAATATCAAAGCAGATAACTATTTTTCTTCATGTGCTATAGGTTGATTACTTATAGTCGAGCTCGTACACAAAGGGAACTACAGTTGTTTCATGATACCAGTGGTGTTGGAACTGTACAGCTAGCATTAGTAGTAGAATGTTTGTTAGAAACTTACTGCGTGATATGTTACTGGCTTGCTCAATATGAAAAAAAAACTTGTTTTGATACAAAATTATATTTTTATTTGACTCCTATCGACAACTGTTTACATGGCTTGATAGTGATAGAAAAGGTGAATGGTTTTAAACTGAGATAGGGGAGGTTTAGATTTAGATACAGGAGGAAGTTTTTCACACAGAGGCTGATGACACACAGGAACAGGTTGCCCAAGGAGGCTGTGGATGCCCCATCCCTGCAGGCATTCAAGGCCAGGCTGGATGTGGCTCTGGGCAGCCTGGTCTGGTGGTTGGCAACCCTGCACATAGCAGGGGGGTTGAAACAAGATGATCTTTGAGGTCTCTTTCAACCCAGGCCATTCTGTGACTTTTATGTAAAGCCACATGTTTAAGTTTTCTCCTTCCTCACTCCCTCACAACTAAAAAGTGCTTTTTCAGATGCAAATAATGTTACATGAAAGGACAAATACCAAAACTGTTATCAAGACAGTTTTTCGTGTTGAGTGACTTCCATGGCATTATGGAATGTAGTCTTAAAACTAGTTTTGCATCTGTATGTAGAATAGCCTATTAAACAAGCACTGTAAATTCTGAAAATTCTTGCATGCTTGTGTAAACTGCTTGTTGCTGTTAATTATTGAATTTCAGCATTGAATACTGGTTTCGCTGCATGGATCTTGATGGAGATGGTGCTCTGTCTATGTATGAATTGGAGTATTTTTATGAAGAACAGTGCCAAAAATTAGATAACATGGCCATAGAACCCTTGCCATTTGAAGACTGTTTGTGCCAGATGCTGGATCTTGTGAAGCCACAATGTGAAGGTAGTAAAACCCTTTTCCATTCTGTAACTCCTGCTTTTCTGGATAAAGATCTAGAGAACCACTAACAGTGGTCATACCAAAAATAAGCCTTTGGATGGTCATCTATCTAAAAGTCTGTTGGTGCATAAAAGTGGTGTTTATTAATTGAATAATCTTCCAAGGATGGGCAAGCATTCATTTCAGTACTAACATTGAATATGCTGCTTAAAAATTCCTCGAAGTCTTTTAATGGATAATAGCCATGTTATTCTCAAACCTTTTTGATGAGGTCTTTTTCACTATCTGGCTGAGGTGATATTGCATATTGCTGCGTTGTTGAAGAGAAGCATACTGCATGTTCGTGGCTTCTACCCCATGTGCTGTTTCTGATATTGGTCACATAAGTTTGATAAAACTTTTTTGTAGCTGGGATGAACAAGTTTTCAAGGATTTCTTGAACTCAACGCAACTGAGGTTGGCACGTATCTAAATCTAACATCTGAACACACGTCCGTACTTAGCGCTGATAATCCTTTTTATGGCTATGCTTTTTAATGTGAACTTCAGTGTGTAAAAGGATTTGGCACGCAGTCTGGTTGCTATTCTTATACAGACTCTGGATCGCCGTAAATGTGGAACTTGCATATTTGTCCTTGAAGTGTTTGATAGGAGTAGTAACCTCTACCACGTACGCTCATGTCTGCTGTTTTCATGGTGAAAAGAAATTGTTGAACGTCTGTGCTTTTGATTACCAAATATAATGTTGTGCTGAAGTCTTGCATTTGTGCACTCTTTTAGATGAGGAGTTGACTTTAGCCTACTGTTATTTCAAGAGTCACTTCAGTAGTGCATAAGAGGCTTATTCTGTTTACTATCTACAAAATTATGGTTGGAGTATAAATTAATAGTTCTGCTTGTTGCCCACTTCCTTTCCAGTATTAAACTTACCAGAAACTTTCTTTTGTTGAAAGAAGGGCACTTGACTTTTATGGAGACGTGAAGTTTCACATACTAAGAGAATTGAAATAACTCAAAATTTGCTCAAGAGAACTCAAAGCTTCACTTGATGATTTAAATAAAGTTAATATGAATTTGCTAGGTGAAAACACATAAAGGTGATAAAATTGTAAATGAAAAAGATGTAACATGTATGTTTCAGCTGGAAGCTTTAGTTCTAGATATCCGTGGAATTAAGCCCAAGATCAGCATGTGTAATTCAAGGTGAGGGAGGATTAAAGATTAAGTGAAATAAACACTTAAGAAAAATTAAATGGTTGCCTACAGTAATATCCCAGACTTAAGGTGTCCCTTCCAAATGCTTCTGAAAGACAGACATTTTTGATAGCGTCTCAGATCGATGAGATTTATGTCTCTTATGTAGTATAAGAGTAATAATAATAGTATAAGGAGGTTGTGAAAGGCCTTAGCTGGGGGAAAGAGTTGTATGGGACAATGAAAGCAAAAACAGATTGTGAAGATTTGATGGGTTTTCGTGAAACCTGAATGATGTGGAAAAGAAGAATTAAGAAAAGCTCTTCTATTGTTTTCCTAACACAAAACTAGCTTCATCAATTGATGCTTCAGTTGGTAGATTTGAAACAAAAGGTAATATCGTACAATATGGTACAGTTTGTTACAAGATGCCTTGTGTACCAAAAAGCAAATTCTTGAGTTTGTAGAGACCTAAATTTAGCAATCTTGATTTCATTCTGGTCTCGTTGGTCTCTGAGAGATAATGTGGGTGTCTACATGAGTGTTAGGTATCTAAGCTCCCATTGCAGTAAATGGAAACTAGAGAGCAAATTGGTGAACCAAATATAGGTGCCGCACTTAAATTGGGAGCTTATATAACTAGGACTCAAAATCAGTTGCTTGGTTGTGGAGAGATGCTGCCACTTGAGATGACCTGATACATCAGACATCTGTGTGGGTCTGACAGATACGACACAGGTGCCATGAGGGCTTTATGATGTTCTGGAGCATCAGCTGTAAGCTAGACAGAATACACGCAGATGGTGGCAGATGTGTGGCAACCATTTCCAAATGGGATTGAGATTCAAAGACCTCGACTTCCCTCCAGTGCCCTTGAGCCATACATTGTTAAAGGCTGCTAAGCTGGGTTACTAAGCTGAGGAAATACTGTTCTAAGTCTGGCTCCTATTGAGCTCTTCCATAACATCTGCAGTTGGCTGCTCTTTGACAGACAGTGGAAGACCAGCCCTAGATAAGGCATACTAATAAATTCCTAACTTTCAGCAATAGCCATCTGTCCTTACTTGCACATCTGATGTTTTTCAGTCTCTCTGTTCAATAGTCAGCCTTGAAATAAGGTAACATTTTCAAGCAACTCAGTAGATATTTCCAATGCTTTGTTATCCATTGTTGGGAGGATTTTTAAGAATCACTTCATGAAACAAAACACCTCTGAATTCTTAGCCTATCACTCAAGCAGTAAATACTGGTCAAGCTGGGCAAATAAGAAAAACTGCTCTCTGTAAAAAGCTCATTTACATGAAGCACAGTCACACTCTCAGGTCTAAAATACACACTTGAATGTTCAGGTCAAATAGAAGTTCTTATCCAAGGGAGAGCTGAAGGAGATCAGTAAGGGGGTTACTTTCACTTATGTAATGCAGAATAATTCAGGCTAAAAGAAAGGGGAGCCACTGTCATACAGGGAAGGGAGAGGGATGCTGCCAGAGGAGCTTCCTACCTGCTGCCCAAACACTTTGGCAAGGAAGCTCACTGGAGGCATCCCTCTCTTGAGGAATCTCAGACAATTAGCTTGAATGTTTTTTTTAAATCTAAGTGTGGTAGATCTGCATCTCACTCCAATATATTGAAAGAAGCAGGATAACAATTAAAGCAAAGGAAAATATCTGCAATAATTAATTTACATATTTCACCTATTCGGATCTCCTATTGTGTTGAGCATCGGTAGTAACTGTACTTAAGCATAACAATAACTTCTGAGTAGCATTTCTCCCTTTTGGAGAAAGGATAATCACAGCTTTAAATATCTTCTATCTTGTGTGCAGGAAAAATTACTCTGCATGATTTAAAGAGATGTAAGTTGACAAATGTGTTTTTTGATACCTTTTTCAACATTGAAAAATACCTCGACCATGAACAGAAGGATCAATTTTCTATTTTGCGGGTGAGTATGAAGCTGTAAAATAAATAATAATAAATAATAATAAAATAAATAATCTTTCTAGCTGCACACTTAAGTCATTAATACAATTATCACTGTAATCATTACAATTAGTATGTGATAATGATAATATAATTGTCGTTATAATTTTGTCTAACTTGCAATGTGATTGCTTAGGAGAGTGAAGGTGAAAGTCCAGAAGTCTCTGACTGGGAGAAGTATGCTGCTGAAGAGTATGACATCTTGGTAGCAGAAGAGGCAGCAAGTGACCAGTGGAATGATGGGTAAGAATGTAACAGCTGAGCTGGTACATGGCCTTTCTACTCTTGTAGAACCTCACCACCACTGCTGTCATTCATGCTATTTTTCCAGACTAGTGTTGTTGCCTGTGGTGGAGGAAGGAGTAATTTAAGTGCTCTGATAATGAGTGGTGGCCCTGACCAGTCCATATCGAGACTGGTGCTGTTTAATATCATCACTGTTGACATAGGGAGTGGGATTGCGTGCAGCCTCAGCAAGTTTGTGAAAAGCCAAGTTTTGTGGTGTAGTAAACATGGTGGAGGGAAGGAATGCCATCCAGAGAGACTGATCTGCTGAAGAGGTGGCCTTGTGCAAACCTTATCGAGTTCAACAAGGCCAGGTGCAAGGAAGAGCCTGCTCTAGGGCTGGGGCAATCCCACGCATGGATAGAGGCCAGATGATGAGTGGAATGAGCGTCTCTTCAGAAGAAGGCTTAGTGGCATTGGTGGAAGGAAAACTTGATATGAGGCAGCGATGAGGTGCCCTCACAGCCCAGAAAGCCGGCTGTATATTGGGCTGCATCATAAGATGTGTGGGCAGGGGGGAGAGGGAGGTGATTTTCCTTCCATAGCCTCTGCCCTCATGAGACCCCATCTGCTTTCAGCTCTGGGAGTCCCAACACAAGAAAGACATGGAGCTGTTAGTGCAGGTCCAGAGCGGGGCCACAGAGATGAACAGAGGGCATCTCTCCTATGAGGGAAGGTTGAGGGAACTGGTCTTGTTGAGCCTGGGGAAGAGTCAGTTCTGGGGGGAAACCTTAAAGCAGCCTCCCAGTGCCTTAAGGGGAGACCACAAGAAAGCTGGGGAAGGACATTTTAACAAAGATTGTAGTGATAATGGCAAGGGGTGATAGTTTTAAACTAGAAGAGGGCAGGGTTTATATTAGACATGAGGAAGAAATTCTGGCAGTGGCACAGGCTGCCTGGAGAATTGTATTCCCCATCCTTCCAAGTGTTCACAGCCAGGTTGGATGAGACCCTGGGCGGCAGTGGAAGGTGTCCCTGCGTACAGCAGGGGATTGGGACAAGATTGTCTTTAAGGTTCCCTCCAACCCAAGACATTCTGTGATTTATAATATGTGAAAAGGGGAGAGCATTTTTAAATTTCTTTTTTGTATTTTGGAAAGGAGTGAAAGTTGTATTCCATGAAGAAAGAAGAGCTTGGAAAGAGATGGGAATTTGCATTTGGTTTGATAGTGTTTGAATAACTATCTTCTGAGTACAGGACAGACAGAGCCTACAAATAGTATCTGTGCTGTCCTTTATTTTTGATGACTGGAAAAGCTGTTGTCATCTCTCTGCATTGCTATGCAACAGGCGAATTAAAAAGCTACATTTGAGATGTTAGCATTTATTTAAAGAATGTCCTTCTCTGGAAGGTAGAATTAATTATTGTAGAATGCTATAAATTGAAGGGTTGCATGTCAACATGGTCATTTTGGTAGAATATACATGTTTTCCAAACCCTCTTTTTTTTTTTAATCATAATTCAGTAAAGCAACTCTTAGAGTGAGTTTTATTTCCTATTTTGTAGGTTTTAACAATTTTGGGAAGGGCAAAATAATGTTTTTTAAAGGGAGGGGGTGATTCAAACTGTTTCTTACTCAGCCTGATCTTTAGCTGGTGTTACCATGAAGTGTTAGGTTTACCAGGAATGGTACTGAAGCTGGGTTAATAGATTTGTCTATGAAGCTATTCAATGGAATCACATTCACAAATGAAAACGTTTCTTTCCTCCTGCCTCTGATGTTCTTGCTGCTCTTTAGGGCAGTTTGGTTAGGTTGTGGATGGACTCAATGACCTTCAAGGTCTTTTTCAACCTGAGCAATTCTATGATTCTATTATTCTACTCTGTTAGTGTTTGTGATGGCTTTCTAGTGTTTAACACTTCTCTGCGCTGTCATTCTCTGAAAGAATGCTTCTCCTTGTCACCACATAATACCATTATAAGTCAAATTTGAAGAATGCGGCCGGAAACGAAGGTTTTGTGCTGGACAGACACTGCAGTATCTAAAGCTTCTTTGTTGCCTAATCTTGTTGAGTAGATGGAAATAATCCCATGCTGAGCTGAGATTCAGTAGCACTTGGGGAGACATACATGAACTGTAGTTGGCCTAGCCCAGGAAATGGTCCATTCTTTGATCATGGAAACACCAAGGTTGGAAAAGACCTTCAAGATCATCCAGTCCAGCCACCCTCCTATCACCAATAGTTCTCACTAAACCATGTCCCTCAGCACAAAATGCAAACGTTTCTTTGAACACCTCCAGGGTTGGTGACTCCACCACCTCCCTGGCAGCCCATTCCAGCGCCTGACCACTCTTTCAGAAAAGCAGTATTTCCTAACATCCAGCCTGAATCTCCCCTGGTGCAGCTTGAAGCCATTCCCTGTAGTTCTGTCACCAGTTACACAAGAGAAGAGGCTGACCCCCAGCTCACTACAGCCTCCCTTCAGGTAGATGGAGAGAGCAATAAGGTCTGCCCTGAGCCTCCTCTTCTCCAGGCTGAACATTCCCAGCTCCCTCAGCTGTTCCCCATTAAGCCCTATGCTCCAGACCCCTCACCAGCTTTGTTGACCTCCTTTGAACCCGCTCCAGAGCCTCAATGTCTTTCTTGCAGTGAGGGGCCAAAAGTGCACACAGTACTGGAGGTGCAGCCTCACCAGAGCTGAGTACAGGGGGGCAATCATTTCACTGCCCTGCTCCTGCTGGCAACACCGTTCCTGATGCAAGCCAGGATGCCTTTGGCCTTCTTGGCCACCCGGGCACACTGCTGGCTCATGTCCAGCCGAGCATCAATCAGTACCCCAGGTCCATTTGCTCTACACAGTCCTCCAGCCACTCCGCCCCAAGCCTGTAGCGTCGCCTGGGGTTGCTGTGGCCAAAGTGCAGGACCTGGCATGTGGCCTTGTTGAAACTCATCCTATTGCCCTCAGCCCAGCTCTCCAGCCTGTCCAGATCCCTCTGTATGGTCTTGCTACCCTCAGACATTAGACTGGTCCCTGAACAGCACTGAAGCAAATCTTTCTCCAGTGCTAGCATTCACTGACATTAGCTACACACTTTGTTAGCCACCATGATCAGCAGATGGTTGTCAGTAAACAGTCAGCTTTTGTTTTCCTGCTTCTTGTTTCCTCTGACTTCTTTGTACTCACGCCTGCTTCATTAGGCACCTCCTAACATACCCAAACTTTGTCACCTGTTCGCAGATACGAGGCTGAGCTGAATCCTGTAGACCATCAGAAGGCCAATGTCCTGAAGTATCAAATGGAAAAAAGACCGTTTTTTGAAATGCCTTCCCATCTGGCTGATGTAGACTTGGATGAATACGACTACGAAGAGGACTTTGAGTAGCGGTTGCAGTCATCACTTGCAGAAGAGAAGGGACAGTCTGCAGCAGGTCTGCTACACACCTATATGTTTCAGTGGGTTTTGGTTCCAGGAACTCAGCTTAGTTTTGTGCTAAAAGTATTTAATCACCAGACTACCTTTTACATAAAAGAAATGCATTTGTATGGAATGACGAAACTTTTTGTATTTATTCAATACTCTATAGTTTGTAAAATAGATTAAAATATTTATTTACAGATGTTGCGTAATTCCTTCTTGGAAGAATAACACTGTTTGACTCGAGGGTAAATCTACTGTTTTTAAAACAACCCTGTACTTCTAAGTTGACGTGTGGTGCACTGACCATCTCCCTCCCTTATGTAAATAGGTATTCCTGTACTGCTATGGGAGGGGAGGAGGCCATGCACTGCCAGCCGGGTGTGCGTCTGTGCTCATACAGGTTGTAGGGCTTTTCTGCCTTGCCAAGGAAGAGATGTCACTGTGAGCATGGGATTCGTCTCTTTCTTACAGATAGTTTCATGGGACAAGCTGGGCATTTTGGTGCATGAGGAAAACTAATGCCAGAAACAAGTTGCCTCCCTTCTCTGCACAGTCCTTATTTGCCTCAACTTTAACTTGCTTGGCCTTTTAAACTTCAGTGTTTTCGTTGACATTCATTATAAAGAGACGATTTAATAGTGAAGTCTGTTCGTGTTCATACTTGATCCAAAATGAGAGTGTTGAATTCTTGTAGAAGGAACCAATTTTTTAAAAATCCTTTGTATAAATGTTACCTGATCAGTGATGTGCACTAATTTGTTGTGGGCATTCAGTGCTTTTGTCTGTCCCTCCCCTTCAGTTGTTTGCTATTGACACATTCCATGGATATTCATTCAGTGTCACAGCAGCTTGAAATTGTTGCCTCACTGTTAAACAGATTGTGTTGGGAAAAAAAATGGACAGAGAGATGTAAGTTATTTTTTGGTTGCAGTGTAGATCTGCTTAAAGTGTTTTAAAATCATGTTTGTATTTGCAAATAAAGATTTTCATACGTGTAACATAATGGTTCTAATTAATGTTATGTACTACATATAATTAACTTCCTATTAAATACCTTAAATGGTTCTTGTGAGTTACAAATGTATGCAGTCTGGTTAGATAATTACACCAAGCTGCATATTCAGAGCAATTGAGCTCTAGCAGCCTTTTCTCATCCCAGAGGTGGTGATGCTGAACAGCTGGATGTGGGACAGAGATCTGCTCTGCTCATCACCCACCCTCAACCAGAGCCCTGCAGCCCTGTGCAGCTTCAGTAATGACAGCAATCAGCTCCTGCCTGTAGTCAGCCTGATGCAGGGCAGTGCAGCCCACTTCAATACTGCTCTGAGGGGTTTCAAAAAATAAACCTCTGGGCTGCTATTGCAATCTTTACAGAACCTTGCACGTCCCATTTCAGATTTCTCAAAATGTTTGATAGATACTTTCCTGTTGCTACATCCCTGTAATTTGGGGCTTTAAAACAGTAAAGAGCAAGACCAAAGGATTTAAGCTCTGCTCCCTGAAGTTGCCATGAGGAAGGGCTCTTTCAGAAGATAATCCTGAGCTTGTGTTGCTGTTCAGAGATTGTGGCATTCTGCTTTGCTCCGCTTGAAATCCTTCAGCTGGAAGCCAGTTTCTTACAACCACTCATCCACAGGCACCTACAGCAAAGGCCTCTCTGACCACATTTCTCTACCAAACAGCACCATTTTCTCTGCAAAGGCTGTAGCACGGAAGCTATTATTGCTACTTTGTGGTTAATGAATTGCCTCTTTATCCCTGCTCCCATTACACTTCTGCTATTCAGTCCCCTCTTTTCCTAATAGAGGCTCCTAATGGAGCAAATCATGGCACCACAGTAGAAATACGTTTTCTTGCAATACCCTGAATTGTACCTTCCATGAATAGCAATGGTTAATGTGGTTTATTTTACACAGTTACAATCCAAAATATATAGAGTGTATATATATATATATATAAAAATAAAGCTGATGGGTTAATGCAGCATGCAGTTCCACAGAGCAGCAAAGCAGCAAAAAAAAAATCCCCAGCCTCCTCCCTCCAACCAACTCGTGTGAAGATCATTTCCAAACTCTTAATGGAAACATGATGATGAATGGTCGTATTTACAGCCCATTTATTTACATTATCTTTTCACGCTTTCCATTTTCCAAGTAAACACCCCATGATTACAGTGTATGGAGAATTTATTCCACAGGAAAATACTCAGCTGGTCCGCTGTTGTTTTCTTTGTTGCTACAAGTCTTGAATCAAGTCTCCTGGGCACACGCCCTCAATCCCCACAGGCAACAAAGGCCATTTCTGTGAGCGCTGGCATTCAGGAATACTTTCAGATGATTGGGTCCAAGTCGCAGGCTCTTTTCTCCCTGTGCTGGGGTTGTGTACAAGGATCTACACCCATCTCCATCCATCCTGGGCACCCCAGAAAGTAAGGAGTGCATCCAGCAGAACAATAAATAGGTGAGACATGCTTGCTCAAGTCAGAGCCTGGGCAGAGCCTTCAAGTCAGAGTATGTCAGTACCCTGATTCCAATACTTGGGTTGGAATTTCTTCCAAGACCACATCGAAGTTGAGTAACGATGTTCACAGCTCTCCCCCCTTGAAGCACACCACCCATCACACCAGGAATCCCCATAACCAGCAGTGCAGAGAATTCAACCACGCTGCTAGAAACTGGCACAGGGTGGGTGCCTACAGGGGGGGACTTGACCTGATACACATCTCCTGCTGCCTTGCTTGATGCCATTGCAACCACACTGTTTAGTTTTACAATTCAAAGAAAGAAACAGTACTGTGTTCTTCATTTCTCTTCATCTTCTCAGTGTGTTAATTGTCCTACACCGGAAGAAAAAACAAAAGTCACTCTCACACTATCCAGAAAACGTCACGTAAGGGCACATAAAGAATGAGAATAAAAGCTTCCAAACATTTAGTGATGTGGCCAAAGCTGGCTCTCAGTAAGCATCTGGTCCACTGATATAATTAACTTCTCCTATTATCTTCAGTAAGGGCTACCCCAGGCCCATTGTCTAAGCAAATATTTTTACATTGGAGCAAAGCCCACTACTTTTTCTTCCAGTTGAAGTCAGTCACTCCACTACTCTGATATGAGGTGAAATCATTAACAAGAACACCTCACTTAAAAAGTAAACCATCAGCCAAGGTCTTTGAATGCAGCTATTTTATAGACCCCAGGTAGCCACTAGAAATCAAGGGGTTACCTGAATCACCACCAAAAACTGTCAGTGAAACGCTATTATTTGCATTGTATCAAAAGTTCAGAGAGCAGAGGGAAACGCAAGAGAAAAAAACTGAAGGACATGCTCAGCCCTTGCAACGGATGGCACAGCACACCTTCAGAGGAAGGAAGGGCAGTGACCAGCTGGAGCCCAAGAAGCCTCGTGCCCTCACTTTTCTTCCCTTTTCATTCCAGTTACTGCTGCAAGACCCATGGTGCACAACAGCCTGTTGGAGTCCATGCACTCCACCCTCCCATTTCCTTCACTGCCCCAAATACTCATTCCTCAGCTGAGCTGAAACCCAGACAGGCAGCTGTAGTTTGGCTACACTCTCCTACCCGATCCCAGAGGCACAGTGCCCTCAATATAAACTCCAGGCTACACCAGCTGCCACTCTGAGCCCACACCACTTATGTGCTTCCCTTTAAATCCCCAGCTGGTTTGGGGAAAATCTAGTCTCCCTAACAACTCCAAATGGAAAAGGGTAAGGAAGCAAGGAACAGCCCTGGGCTGATACCAAGTTGTTGCTGGTTTGTTGTTTGTTTTTTTTTTTAATTTGAAAAGCACAGTGCAAACACAATTTCTGAAACAGGTACCATTCCTTACAGGTCTATGGCAGTGCCATCTCTATAAGGTATCAGTAATATGAAGCACTGTAGCAAAGGGCTCCTAATATGGCTTTGAACTGAGACAGGAGATTTTGGTTAGATATAAGGAGGGAGTTTTTCCACACATAGGGAGGTGACACACTGGAGCAGGTTGCCCAAGGAGGCTGTGGATGCCCCATCCCTGGAGGCATTCAAGGCCAGGCTGGATGTGGCTCTGGGCAGCCTGGTCTGGTGGCTGGTGACCCTGCACATAGCAGGGGGTTGGAACCAGATGATCATTGTGGTGCTTTTCAACCCAGGAAAACACAGTCCAAAATTACCTGTTCTGTACCAACCACATCAACATCAACATCTTCACTTGTGTCTTCCACCTGTCCCTCCACTGAGACATCTTCTGTCTCAATCTCATCTTTGCTGGGGTGGGGAAAGAAAAATGAAAACTGTATCTTAAGAAACATTTCAAGAGAGATTTCACATTGCACAAATTTGATTAAGGCAGCTCTGTGACATCAGGGGACAAGTGAGCTAAAGGAGCAAATGTAGAGATTGGTCTGAGGAAACAAAACACACAAGCTGAAGGGCATGGTCTGCACCTTCGCCCACAGAAGGATTACAAAAATCTTAAGGAGAGGCAGTTAGAGAAACTCCAGCTATTGATGCTAGGACAAATGAAGGAGCTTTTAAGACATAAAACTCTCACCTGCATCTCCTCTGCAGCCCTCCTGGACAACGCAGTGGCAAATGTTCCTTCAAGTGCTTCTCTTGAGATCTCAGCCTCTTTCTGCTTCTCCCTGCTGCAGAGCTAAGCTGGGAAGCATGCTCTAAGGCTGCTTCTTGGCTCACTGCTTCGGTATGGTTGGTTTCAGGCAAAGACCCTGGAAGAGAGCGAGCTATTCTTCAGCTTCACCCTTGGAGGTCACACACTGGACACTTCTGACAGCACTGTCTCTCCCACTACTGGGAAGCAATGGAGGCCAAGCTCAAAGGGAGATCTGGAGCAAAGCATTCATTGATTTCATTTGCCCACTCATACTTCTGCAATTTAGATTTCTCATCGTGGCCCCAGTCTTAAGTGCTATCAGTACCCTTGAGTCCGTACCACCCTCAAGAAAGAAGGGCCTCTGGGACATAAAGAACAAGATTTTTGAAGGTGGACCACTGAAAAAATCTGAGAAAGGATGAGATAAACTTAAGGTCATTCTGGAAAATTCCCTTTCCTGCCCATATTACACAAGCCCAAAGCACTTAGCACTTTTAATGGCAATTGTTTTCATTATGGCTTTACTACATTTAATTAATCCCTAACATAAGCATGCAGGAAATATCTCTGGAATATCAACTGGAAGTCAATGAGAGCAGCCCACCTAAGCACAATTCTTTGGAATAGAAATAGAAACCTAATTTAGAAGGTGAGGTTCCCCAGGAATTCAACAAAGGATGATTTGGCCCAGATCATCCGGGGAATCAAACTCTGGAAACACCTCTCATAATCATCTGCAGGGCTAAAGCAGCAATGCCCTTCATAGCTGAAAGCAATGAACCAAGTCCCAGTAGCACAGACCTCAGTACAGAGAATTCACAGTTGTCATGCAACGTCTCCCAGGCCAACCAACCTTCTCCCAGTCGGTGACCGAGAGACCGTCAGCAACAATAAAGCTGAAGGCAAAAGCCACAGTTCTAACTGGAAAGTCCATAAGCACCCAACAAAATGTGGTACTGCTAATGCAAAGCATGAAGTGCGTTTTAGCTGTGTTTATTTTGTCCCAGCAAATTCAGAACAGTCAGTTTTCATACCGTTAGATAATTTCCTTTTAAAAGACAGTGCCTTCGATGTGCCCAGGGGAGGCCATTCTCCTGAGCTGCCAAGGACGGAGCTCTCCTCATCTTCATTTGCCAACAAAGAGTTTCTGTATAAAAGCAATGGCTGCCATTTGTCTCGGCTGCAAGGCAGTGGTTCTGCTACATACCTCTGTAAGTAGTCATACCTAGAAAAAAAAACAAGTGTAAGAATCAGTAAGATCTGTAAGTGTATTTTTTCACTCAATACCTATGCAGGGTACTGCTAGGATGGTATTTTCCTTTCGCTGTCGAAAGGTGCAGACAGAACTGTCAAGGGAGAAAAAAGAAAGAGCATCCCTCTCCTTATTTCT